AGACAGTGTTGGACACCGAAAGATTTAAACAACTCCTTCCAAAAGAGACCGGTAAACACCTTATCTCTATCAGATGTAATGAACTCTGGTAATCTGTGAAACTTGCAGATCTGGTTCAAGAATGTTGTAGCTATAGTTGGTGCAGTAAATGGAAGGCTCAATGGTACAAAATGAGCATAGTTGGTATATCTGTCAACTACTACCAATATGGCATCATTCCCTCCAGATTTAGGTAGTTTTTCAATAAAATCCATGGTAACATGCTGCCAAGCTTGTTTAGGTACTGATAAAGGTTGTAGTAGCCCTGGGTTTCTAACATTCTCATGTTTACAGATCTGGCAAATTGAACTGTTTTTCACCACCTCATGTACTGTTTGTGTAAGTTGAGGCCACCAAAAATTGGTTTTGACCCTCTGTATTGTCACAAATATTCCTGAGTGACCTCCTCGGGAGCTAGCATGCATCATAGTCACTACTTTACTCCTCCAATCTCCATATGAGCCTACATAAAGCTTGCCTTTGTATCTCAACATTCCATTACAATATGAATAATAACTCATATTGTAAGGAATATTTATCAGTTGAAACATAGCTTCTTCAGCCTCCTTATCTCCTTTGTAGCTTTTAATAAGTTCTTCTTGCCATTCAGGTCGAACAACCGAAATAGCTAAGGATTCTCCTGTTGTTTGAGGATCGGATTGATCTCTTCTGGATAACGCATCAGCCACTTTATTCTTTTGCCCTTTTTTATATTCTATCTTGTAGTCAAAGCCCAGTAATTTGGTTAAATATTTGTGTTGAATAGGTGTGGATATCCTTTGATCAACCAAATACTTGAGACTGATCTGATCTGTCCTTATTATGAAAGTTGCATGAAGCAGGTATGCTCTCCATTTTTCAGTAGCTAATAGTATAGCTAAGAACTCCTTCTCATAAATGGACAGCCCTAAATTTTTGACACCCAGAGCTGTGCTTATGTATGCTAAGGGATGTCCTTCTTGCAATAATACAACTCCTAGTCCTTCATAGCATGCATCCGTTTCAACTATCAAAGTCTTAGTGAAATTAGGCAACTGCATAACATGTACAGTACACATTGCTTCTTTCAGTGCCTCAAATGCTTTGTGAGCTGCTTCACTCCATTTAAGCATCCCCTTTTTAGTCAAGTCAGTCAATGGTTTAGCTATGATCCCATACTGGAAGCAAAACTTTCTGAAATATCCAGTCATGCCAAGAAAGCCTCTTAGTGCTTTAAGATTAGAAGGTACTGGCCATTCAATAATGCTTATAATCTTTTCAGGGTCTACATCAACTCCATTAGAACTGATAATATGCCCTAAGTATTCCACTTTTGATACTCCAAATGTGCATTTAGATCGTTTAGCAAATAGAGTATGTTTCTATAGTAATAGAAAGATTTCTCTCAAATGCTTTTTATGTGTTTCTTTATCTGAACTGTAGATCAATATATCATCAAAGAAGACCAACACAAATTGCTTCAAACAATCTCTGAATACATGGTTCATAAGGGCATGAAAAGTGGTTGGAGCACTTGTTAATCCGAATGGCATGACTGTGAATTCATAGAGTCCACTAGCGGTAATGAAAGCAGTCTTCTCAATATCTTCTGACTTCATTCTAACTTGATGATATCCAGCCCTTAAATCAATTTTAGAAAAGATTGATGCTCCATTTAGTTCATCCAACAAGTCATCTATCAAAGGAATAGGGTAATTGTTCTTGATGGTTATAATCTACACAAAACCTCCATGTTCCATCTTTTTTGTTGACTAATAATACAGGACTGGAGTAAGGACTGTGACTAGGTTGAATAACCCCAAAATTGAGCATCTCTTTTATAAGCTTGTTCATCTCCTGTCTTTGCAAATAAGGGTACCTGTATGGTGCTTGTTTAAAGGGTTCCTCTACCTTCTTTCTTGATCTCATATTGATGCTCATTATTCCTCAAGGGAGGCAGACCTGTAGGTTCTTGAAAGATTACTTGAAACTCCTCAAGTAATTCTTCCATTTATGTGTCTTTATCTTCTATTGTTTTGCTCTGTACAGAAGTAACCATGCATGTGTATCTTGATACTACATTATGCTTTTTATTCCATAACCCTCTCATCTTCTTTCCTGATATTAATTTCACAGACATTTCTGGGTGTATCACTGAAACTATCACCTTCTTCCCTTGATGATTAAATTTAATAGAATGATTATCATAATCAAGCATAATTGGCCCCAGTTTCCTCATCAAATCTACTCCCATAACCATATCATACCCCCCAAGGGGTAAAATCCTCAATGTAGCTGAAAAATTGTGCCCAACCATTTCCCACTCCAGTTTAGGACATTTAGAGTTACACTCTATTTTACCCCCTCCTGCTACAGTTACTTGCAAGGGGTTAGTCATTTCAATGTTACATTTGATTTTCTTGTTGTTCCGGGGTCAATGAAGCTGTGAGTACTTCCTGAATCTACTGATATAGTCAGGTAATTGTTCTTCACTTTCCCTTGTAGTTTGATAGTGTCAGTAAGTACTTGACCTTTAAGTGCATGCAAAGAAACTCCAAAATTTGTTTCTTCATCACTTTCTTCTGGCAGAACTAAATTAGTGACATGCTTCTCTTCCTCCTCAGTCAGCTGTATAACAAAGATATTCTTGCACTTGTGTCCCATGATATATGTTTCATCACAGTTGAAACATAACCCTTTCCTCCTCCTAGCATCCATTTCTTCCTTACTCAATCTTCTAACGGGCAGAACCTTTTCAACTGTGTTTACTCCTTTAGTTTCAGTACCTCCTTTTCCACAATTAACCCTCTGAATTCCTTTTCTTGTTCTTCCCATAGCTTCCAACAAGGCTTCTTGTTTCTTGGCAATCAAATAGGCTTGATCTAATGTTTCAGGGGCTACGATTTCTACCATATGTTTAATCTCTTCTTTCAGTCCACTCATAGCTGGAAAACTATACATCTGTTCCTTTATATACAAAGGCCGTTTACAACTAACCGGCTAACCACTTCTACCACTAACGGATATACTAACAACTAACAGTTTGATCCCCCTTTCCGTTAGTTAATATTCCGTTGCCAGCTCATTTAGTTATCCACGTAGATATTTTTAATATGGAAGCTTTGGTCTTGATAGAGGCATAACAAAGATGGAGGTGTAGCAAAGATGGAGGGTGGGTTGGGTGGCGAACGAATTAGAAAGAAGAAAGGAAGAGACAGGGAAGGAAAAATAAAAAAAAATATTTGACATGTGTTGCCATGTGTCGCCACGTGTGCATGTATACATAAGAACCATTTGTTAACCTTCTAAAAGCTGATTTGATTTTGTTTTTAAAGTTGAGGTACATGATTGGATGATAAATTAGCTAGCGGTCTTAATTTACTATTTGTAGTACTAGGAGAGCTTTTTTGATTGTTTTCCCTAATAATAATGATTTATAACCACATAATCTTTACCAAATTTGGTATGAAACAATTTTAACGAGACAAATAAATATATATACTACATAGTAACTAATCAATGTTGGAACCGAACCAGATCATTACAGTTCGTTTTGGCGGTTCTTGATTCCAAAGTCCCGCCCCCGGTAAATATTATCCTATGTTCTTTTTAGTTGCAACATTCTCTTTTCAAGTTTGCCAAAACACAATTTTGACTGTCATTATATTCAATTTTGTATTAGTAAAGAAAATTAAAAATCAAATTATGAAACTTAGCAATGAGATGAATAAAATGCACTCGGAGTAGAGAAAAATTTACATACAACAATAAACAAAGTGGAGTCAAAATAGAGTAACAATACTCAATAGTCAATACAATAGAGTAGCCACAAACATGCATCTTGGACTACTTACTTATATCCCATAGTTATGTCCTCATTGACTCATTGAGATATAAAAGTATCTAATTTTGTATAACAAAAATATGCTTTTGTAACTTAGATTTCATTTAGTTGTTTTTTATAAATTTTAAATTAGATTGGACGAGATCAAATCAACTTAATGACACTAAAATAGACTAGCCAATATCAGACACAATGAGATCAACGAGACTCATAAAATACTACGTAGTAAACACATAATATCAGACATCATCAGTCCAGATTAGACCAAAATTGAACATGCTAGATTAGTAAATTAGACTTAAATAAATCAAATCTGACTTGAACCAACTCCAAATTACAGTTTAGTGGAAGTGAAATTAATCAATCTTCTATCATTGATTTGGAGGTTGTTCTGTTTATCATACCTTTTTTACTTTCTCCATTTTTAAAAGTTGCAACATTGAAAGTTTGTTACTATTCACATACCTTATTTCGATTATGATTTTCTACCAATATAAAATCAAAATTAATAAAATGTTATTAAATTTCTATTAATTTAAATTTCAAAAATATTAATTTTTTATAATGTTTACTAATACGTAACTAAATATAATAAAATCAAAATTGTACGTTGGTAAACGTGAAAGTCAAATTGTTGTAACATTTAAAGAAGGGATGATAGTATCACTTATTCTTATTCTGTTCAAATCAGATCAAACTATAAAAATTTAGTGCAAAAGATCATGAAAATTAAAAGAAAAAACCAAATCAAATACTACGTAGAAAATATCAGATTATATTAGAAAAAGTGTCACTCACGTAAATCACACCATAAACATCCACTTTGCAACGACCTGCCCTAACCGAACACAGCCGTTTCGTGCATAAGTTTGGACGTATGAAACACATATGTCACACGACACCGTTTCACACTCTCCCAGTGCTGCTATCTTCTAATCCCCTTCTATGGCCACAGCTAGCTATTCTCTACTCGCCCTTGACTTTCTGGCTTAAGTGTCGGTCCAACCCTGGTCGTGTTGGAAATAATGTACAAAATTAAGGGCATTATCGGAAGTGCCTACTTTAATCTGGTGGCCGTGGGGAAAGCCATCTTACGACCGTGTATATATTTGTTTCCGTTATCCTCTGTTTCTGTTCTGTTCGTCGCTCTCGATTTTTCTCCACAAGCCATTTAACGAGCTTTAATTCCGTCCCCTAAGAATAGGGTTTCTCGTCGTTTCACCGAATCTCGAATCTCACGTTGCAGCCATGATTTCCGATTCAATCCCCAAAGCTTCGATCCCCATGTGTTCTGCTAACCCTAAAGATTTAGCAAAGAAAAAGAGGGTAATTTCAATTCATTTTTTCCGCTATCAATTTCTTGCTAAATTTTCAATTGTTTTGCTTAAATGTTTGGCTGTACGCTTTTCTCCGTATGATCGGATCATCTTTAGTTTTCATTTCATGTATTGATTGGAATTCAGGCTCATCGTTCGGCCAAGTTGAAGCAGTACAAGCTCGATGCCCGGCGTGAACAGTGGCTTTCACAAGGTTTGTCTAAGATCTCTCTCTCCCCTGTCTTTTAGAATTTGAATTTCAGTTGTCTTGTTTTTATCACTTCAATCGATGTTATTGCATTTTGTCTTTGTTGTATTGGGGTTTTGTGATTTTGGCTTTTTATAGTGAAGAATAAGGGAACAAAGGAGGAGCTGAATTGTCAAGGTGGGACTTGTGGCAGTGTGAAAGAAGATGTGAATAAAATGGCTAGATCCATAGACAATTTAAAGATAAATCCTCAGACTGTGGAAGAAGATAATGAAGGCTCCTTTAACAATTACAGTGATTTGGACTCTCCTGCAAACAGCCCAACCAACCAATCGAGTAGCGACTTGGGTGGAAACTATTCCAGTACAAACTTCAGTGGTAGCAGCAGCGGCAGTAGCAGCAGCAGCCAATGTTGGTCGGGCAATATGAGCGAAGAAGAAGATGAAGAACATGATGGTTGTCTAGATGATTGGGAGGCCATAGCAGATGCTTTGGCGGTTACAGATAAGAAGCATGGAGATGAGCAGAGTCCTTGTTTGGGCATGCATGGAAATGCTGTTCAATCAGGTTCAGACCAGCCAGTGTTGTCCGGTGTAGATAAATCGAAGGCAAAAGGCAGAGCCTGGAGGCCTGATGACGCCTTTCGTCCTCAGAGTCTGCCCAATCTGTCCAAACAGTATAGTTTCCCCACGAATGCAGAGCGGCTTTACCATTGCGGAGGGTCTGTTTGGGGTAACTTATCGTCAGCACCGACATCTTGTCCTATATGCTGTGAAGATTTGGATCTCACGGACACGAGTTTTCTCCCCTGTACTTGTGGGTTTAGGCTGTGTCTCTTCTGCCACAAGAGGATTCTTGAGGAGGATGGGCGGTGTCCTGGTTGCAGGAAGCAGTATGATGAAAACAATAGCAGCCTATCATCATTTCGGCTGGCTCGTTCATGTAGTATGATCTCAAGGTCCTAAGCAAGGAAGAATCATAATGCGTGTTAGTTCCTTATTTTTCCCTTTTTACATAATTGTGTGGGTGTTCTTACTCTCTTCGACTCTTTCAAAGTAGACCACTAGGACATTATAAAAGGAAGAATGATCATTCTGTGGAGTTGTTCTGATTCCCTTATGATGATGATGTGTATGGTGCATGCAGGGTATTATAGAAAGAGGGTTGCTTATGGGAGTAGGGTATGTTGGTGGTATAGAGAAAATTCAATATGTGAAATTTGTTGACTGTAATAAAGTTCTCTTTGTTAGTTTGCAGAAACTTATCAATAATGAATGATTATACATCATTATGGTCCTATTAAGTAATCAGTATCCTATGTTCTCATCTTGTTGGATGTTCTCACCACAAAGCCATGCATTTGGGACCTGGAGGTGTAGGGGTAGTTATTTGACAAGGACATTGTTGCTTTTAGTGTTTCTCATAATGTTTACACTTATGTAGCATGGTTATCTATCAGAATCTGGTGTATGCTTCTTTTAGGAACAATTAAGCTGATATGTTCAAGTCTAGTTTAGTTTGTTTAGGCCTAATATAGTATTATGTGTATTATTTAATAGGGAGTATTGTTTAAGCCGGGTGAACTGGTCTGTAGCAAGGTTTTGAGTTTTGACCTCTCTCTGGGGCTCTGGGCATGGGGTGTTGGATGTTTGACACTTAAGCGAGGTGATGTTAAGAGGGCACTTTTGGATGCCAATTAGTATGAAGATGCCGTGGAGGTGGTTGTTTCCTTAATATTGTGGAAAGTAGGGATAATTTAGGCTTCATTACTCATTAGTGGTTAGCTTCTGTATAATTTCCTCAAGAAATATTGATATTCTTTTATATTTTTACTACCCAGGAATTTAATACGTCTATTAAATGTTAGTATATCCATTTCTTCACTCCTGTATAAGTCACTTATTGGTAAATTGTTAAATGTACTATTGATATTCTTTAATATTTTTACTACCCAGGAATTTAACGTGTCTATTAAATGTTGTATATCCATTTCTTCAGTTCTGTAAGTCACTTATTGGTAAATTGTTAAATGTACTATTTTTTGACTTGGGAACATGATGGAAGAAAGCAAAATGGTTCACTAAATTGCATGAGCTTCTTTGTTATGAAGCAACGGTCAATCCATGCAATTTCGATGCGATTTTGAGGATGAGTCATTTGGAAACATTCTTTCGAGGTAAAGTTGTGTACATCCGACCACTTAACAGGTGGTAGTTTTGCGTCACTGTGCGGTTAATGTTGTTGTTGTTGTATTGGTAAATTGTTAAAGGTAGTTTTGCGTCACTGTGCGGTTAATGTTGTTGTTGTTGTATTGGTAAATTGTTAAAGGGAGAACTACCAAATAAACCCTCGAACTTTCATAAAAAGTGCAAATAAGCTCTTTTATAGGAGGTTCTGTCCGACCGTTGCCATTTGGGTGGTTTCCGGTGGAATTTTTTGATGAACTTTTTCAGCTAAAACTTCAATCGGGAAGACAGTCAAATGAATTTTTGAAGATGACTGCGCAGTTAGACAACATAGTATATTTCAGAAATTCATTTGACTGCCTTATCGATTGATTTTTTAGCTTAAATTTGATATGGGTAAACTAGACTTAATGAAGAAGATGCTCAAAAAATTTCATCAAAAAATTCCACTGAAAACCGCCCCAAATGGCGACGTCCGGACAGAGCCTCTTATAAAACTATAAAAGGACTTATTTGCACTTTTTAAGAATTACGCCACGCTGTAGGATGCTTGCAATTGTTTTATGTGGTTTGCCAGTCTTGGGGGCTTTAAAGCTTAGACCTAAAGAAAAACTTTTGTTAGTTTCTTGATTTCTTCCAACTTCACTACTTTGCTGCTTCCAGTTTGTTATTGAATGTTTAAACCAAAAAGTCAACCAATACCCTAAATACATTCTTTAATACACGAAGAAACTTATATATCAATACATAATCTTGGTGTAGCGTCCTTTCAACACCTACAAGTGGTACATGTCAACGGAACAAGTACAGGCTTAATAGGCATGTCCCAAAGCAATTTGGTTTGTCTTAACATTGTTTTTAGCCAAGTAGTCAGATTAAAATCTATTTAGAGCTGATTTAGGCATTCATAATTTCTTGTTTATGAGTTAAATTTCTTCGTAGATACTCTGTACATTTCTTCAGTTTAATTAAATATTTATTTATTTAAAAGCTTTTAAGCAGCAAGTTTAATTAAATCATCCATTTAGCCTTCACTCATTTGAGGCTTTGAGCATCTCTAATTCTCTAAATGTGGACTTCGTTAAAATGTGAATTTGTCGGGTCAAATGCATAAATGGTACCTTAACTATTGGTATTGTTGTGTTTTTGTACCTTAATTCTTAAATGGATCAAATCAGTACCATAATTATACATAAATGTTTCCAACTTGAGATTTTATTCAAATTTGTGGACAAAAATCGTTATGGCGATCAAAATTTCATGTGTAGAGTCACCTTATATATGGACAAAAATAAGGTGAAGTAGACTTCGCGGATAGAATTCAGATCGCTACTTGTGATTTTTTGGCTGCAAATTTGAATAAAATCTCAAATTGAAACATTTATGTATAGTTAATGTATTGTTTTGATTTATTTAAGAGTTAAGGTATCAAAATACAACAATACCAATAGTTAAGGTACCATTTATGCATTTGAAAAAATGTGTGGACCTCATTTTACTACTCCAAAAGGTTGAATCCCCAACTCGTCCACGCCCACAACTTCATTCTATTATAAAACCATTTTACTTTGCATTCATTTACAAACTTTTACTTGGTGGGATGTAAGACAATAATTTTATTAAAAGGTTCGTTCTCGAGCAAAATGATAACATTGAATTGGAGTGAAATGTTTTCAATCGTTCTTTAGTAGGTCTTCTGAGACAAAATATAAAGACTAAAGAATTGCAAATCGGATAATTTAAGGTGTTGCTAATCTTACACCTTACGAAGTATGTTGCAACTGGAATCAAGAAAATGCGAAAATAAAACATAATATGGAAAATAGAAAAAGAACTCGAAACCAATAAATATGTGTTACCCATATGTTCTAGCTCATTTATTTGTTTGGCTTGTTTTTAATATAAAAATAATAGGTCCAAAAATTTGTAAATTCTATAATAGGTCCAAAACATTAACGAAAGAAAACTATCATCAACTTTTTCATAAAACTTTTCAATGTTCGAGAACAAAAGTCATAAAACTAATTCAAAGGAGTTGCAATCGCTCATTCCATATGCTCCAGCAAGGGAGGAAAAAAGGCTTATAAATCGACTTAACAAGATGGCATGTAATTAAGAGTTCGTTTGGCACATCTGTTTTTCGGCTTACCAGACTTATCAGCCAACTTTTTAACCAAACACATAACTTTTGATCATGCGCGCTGAATTGTGTAATAATAAGAAAAAGTAAGGTTGGAATTAATTTTCTGCTGTATTGGTTGAAGTTATTGTAGATGATCATTTTAACTATTTTTCATATATTTTTTTCTTCATTTAATTAGTATAATATATTTTAAATACTATCCTCCGTATCACATTAATTGCAACATTGAAATATATACACTATTCATGTATTTTACTTTGACTACATTTTATTTATTAATGTATGTGAATTATTTTTTTTGAAAAATATTGTTAAATTCGTCTCATTACTAAGTTTTATAATCTGATTTTTATTTTATTTTTACCAATACAGAATTAAATATAATGACGGTCAAAGTTGTGCGTTGGCAAACGCGAAATGTTGACTGTTGCAACTAAAAAGAGACGGAGGACGCATGATTTTTTTATAAATCAGCAGAATCAGCCAATACAGTCACTTCATCCAGAACTTCATATATTTTAGGAGAATCAGCCGATTCTGCCAATTTCAGTGTTACCAAACGAGCTCTAAGATTTTACTAGATATATTTTGCCTTTTGATTGTCAAAAAAATATACACTTTTTTAAATTAGATCTCACTAATTTTTTATTTTCCAACTTTATGCATCATTTCATCATTTACATTTTGCGTATTCATTTTTCCCTTTTTATGTTTTTTATGTTAAGGATAAAATTGTAAAATATCCATTTATCATTTATTTTCTTAAAATCCGCTCCAAACATAAAAAGAAAAGAAAAATATAAGAGGACAAACACGTAAATGCAAGTTAAGATGCGCGGCCAAGCTCCTGAAGTCTGAAAGTGAGAAAAACAGATTCGTATTCCCGCCGCTTCAAGCGATAAACGAATTCGAAACTTTGAAAAGATAAAAAAGAAAATCCTCCTTTCCAGCCCGCCGCCCTCTCTCCGCCGCATCTTTCACCCCTTTCTTCATTTCCACCTGCAAACTTTTATCATTCAATCTCACTATATACTCACACAGAAGCGTAATTTCAATTCAGAGGATAAGGAATCCATCCCGAGATGGCCTTAAGGGAATCTGGGCCGGCTTATTCCCGCAAACAGAAATCTCTCGGTCTACTCTGTTCCAAGTACTCTATCTTTCTGTCCTTCTGAATGTCGATCAGTTCTGTATGAGTAATGCACTGTTTGTGCTTGCGCGTGCCTGATTAACGAGTAATGTGAATTTATGCAGTTTTTTGAGCTTATACAACCGAGAGGGTGTTGAAACCATTGGGCTGGATGATGCGGCAAAGCAGCTAGGGGTTGAGAGAAGGCGGATATATGATATTGTGAATGTTTTGGAAAGTGTTGGTGTAAGATCCTTTGATTTGGACAGATCTCATTTTATGTAGACGGATGAATATTTTGTATTTATTTACTTGGTTGGTTCAGGTTCTTGCGAGAAAGGCTAAGAATAGATATACGTGGAAAGGATTTGTTGTTGTCCCAAAAGCTCTCCAGGAGCTGAAGGTATTGGTGCTATTTCGCATTGTTTGTTTGCTGCTTGAAATTAAAGTGTGTAGTTTTTATTTCACTTCAGTTTTTTAATAATTTCAACAATGGAACAGGAAGATGGCCTAAGAGAGAGTTTTTTTGCAGTTGATAGAAATTCCACACCTCAAGTTGGTTCCTCAAGGGCTTGATTATTGGTTATATTGTGTGCGAAGCTATTTCCATCACTGAGATGTATTTCACATTTTTTGTTATCAGGTTACAGACAATGAAGATGATGTTATGCATCAACCTAAACACTGTGCTTCAAGTCAGGGTGAAATTTCTTGCTATCAGGTTACAGACAATGAAGATGATGTTGTGCATCAATCTAAACACTGTGCTACAAGTCAGGGTGAAAAATCAGAACTCACATTGACTGCCAGGCTTGGTATTTGAATTTCAGCTGCCTTTTAATACTGGAACAAATTGTTCTTTTAGCTTTGCTTCTTGTTTTCCTTATACTACGTATGTGATACCACCTTTAACAGATAATAGAAAGGAGAAATCTTTGGGGCTTCTCACAAAGAATTTCATCAAACTTTTTCTCTGCACTGATGTGAGTTTAACAGTCTGTTAAATTCCCAAACCTTTCATTTTCTTTCTTCTCTTAGATCTCAACCCCCATGTTGTGTTTATTGCCCTTTCTTTAGATGGAAACAATTTGTCTGGAGGAGGCTGCAAAGTTATTGCTGGGGGATGGAAGGTCTCCATCAATGACAAAAAGTAATGAAACCTCCTTTTTCACTTTTCCCTAGAAATTTAGACTTCTCTTTCAATGATAGTTGTTGATTAAGATCTCTTTATATCTCACAGTAGCCCTACTTTTTTGCAGACAAAGTTAGAAGACTGTATGATATTGCAAACGTTCTTTCCGCAATGAAATTCATTGAGAAGGTAATAAATCAATCCATATAGTTTGGCTTACATATATTAATCATACATTCTTACGGAGCAAAATGCTCATCTGTTTGACTGTTCCTTGATGAGTAGACTCAACACCGGGAAACAAGAAAGCCTGCTTTTAGATGGCTGGGGTTGAAAGGCGAACCAGAAAATGTATCAGCTCACATGTCAGACCATGATTTGGGTTTTGATCATCATCACTCCAGTAAAAGGGTGTTTGGCGCTGATATCACAAATATTCCTCCCACTAAGAGAAGCAAATTGTTTCTTCTTCCCTCGATGGATAGTGGTGGTAGTGAAGTAACAGAGACAAAGCTGCTATCCCAAATCAAAAGTGAGAATGTGGACTGTGTGGCCAATTTGGATACTGGTTCAAGAACAAGTGCTTATAAGAGCTATCACTTTGGTCCTTTTTCTCCTACTGCAACTATGCTCAAAGTTGAAGATCAGGAAAGTAGTCAAAGATCCAAAATAATTAGCGCCTGTGAAAGTTTAGGATCGACTTATCGCCCAGAATATCAAAACCAAGGTGACACATATAAATGTATTTCAACATTTTCTTGAATCTTAGTTCCTCTTTTATAGGTTTGAAAGCACTCTGGTAATGGAATTTCTACTTTGTTTGATTTTACACAGCTGTAAGAGATCTGTTTTCTCATTACATGGAAGCATGGAGCTCTTGGTATTCTGAAGTTGCTAGGAAGAATCCTATTAATGTGCTATCTTAGTTACATGCTATGACGCTAAGTGCTGACATACCTTGTTGTTTTGGGTGGAGCGGAAGAGACAATACAAGCCCCCGTACAAATGATGATGGCCTGATCGGTATTGAATGCATATTGTCATTGTATCAATTTGTTGAGCCCCCTTTACAGATAGAAGATTGTTTTAGAATAATTACTATGTCGAGCCCAATAGACAAATTTTTGTTCGGAAATGTTTATCTTTTATATTAATGATAAAAACAAAAACTCACCCTTACCCCTCCTGAGCCAAGGTCATAATTATTGGGGTTGGCTGGATTTTAACTCTGGGAAATTCCTCAGACTAGAACTAGATCAATTTGAAATTTATCGGAATCGGTATGCATAACCAAAAATTCATTAGATGGAGGTTAATTTAATTGAACACTTTACATTACTTGTAAAGATATCTTAGATCTTCGACCAAAGGGTTCTACAACATTCGAATATTGGAGCTTTAAATTTGAATAGGTTTTAACTTTTAAGCAAGGTTAAATTCTTCATAAACATCAAGCTCTTTCTATATATGTTGAATTGAAGTAAATATAGAATTAGACCTGGAAGAGTTTAGGTGTACATTGAAACGATAAGGACTATAGTTCTACTATAAAATTTCCTTTTGAAAAGTGAACATTTCTTGTTTATGGTTGATGCTCGTTATTTCATCATATATGCGACTCACATAAGCAATTTATTTGAGAACAGTAAAGACAAATGAATGATTTACATTAGTGGTGAATATATTTGAATCAAAACTAGCTCCAGAGCCTCCAGTTATCCCCCAACTGATCCTTCTGACCCACAGACCCAGTAATGGCCAGTATCGATTCTTTTAATTTTTTAATAAGTTTTTAACCCTCCTATCCCCCTCCTACTCTATTTTAATTTTTAAATAGATTTACACTTCTTTTAAAATATTTCTAATATTTACATGCTCGGTTTCCAATTTGGTTGAAGTCCATCTGACTAAGATTATTGCAAGAAGCGTTTTGACTTTCAATTGAGGACATTTTTGACATTAAAACTGACCGTCAAATGGAATAAAACGATAAGACTTATACGTATTACGAAGTGTTAATAGAACAAGAACTTAGGACTTGACATGCTGGTATTTCATTTCTGAGAAGTTTGTTGACAAAAGATATTTAGATCAAAACAATTAATTAGTAAAATGAAAGATAAATTTGCTTTCAAATAGACAGATTTATTTGTATGAACCAAATGATGCTGAACTGATAAGAGAACGTGAACAAAGATTTGTCAGAAAATATGACATTTATAAAAACAAACAGAAATACTAATCACGATCAGGAATGTCCCCCATTCAACAACGTTATTTTTCAACAACTTGAAAGACAAGATCCAAGAAATTTCACTTCTGAATATCATGTCACAAATAGGCATATTGCATTATTAAAGAAGCAGATACTACTAGAGTACTAGGTAGTAGGTACAACACAACAAATTCTTCGGCAGCGTTTTGTTGTCTTCTCTCGTATAAGCTGCAAAGTTGATCCATATTATCCCTTTTGTATCTCTTCAGAAAGTGCATATCAAGTTCTAAAACTTCTATTTCACACTTCATGTTCCAAATATTAAAGGATGGGTACCCATCCTTAAATATTTGGTAAATGGAGCTTGAATACGAGTTTTAGAACTCAGTATGATCTTTCTAAAGCGATAACACACGCATAAACGGAACACAAGACATCCACTCTTTTTACAGCTTTGAAGGAGACTTGTAAAAACCCCAAGGCTCATCTGATACATATTGCGTAACTTGCTTGATGTTCAAGTAGTTTTCTAATCCCCTGCACATGAAAAGACCAAATGATGTTAACAACTTTGGCTCTTCAACCTGTACATATGTCAGTTCTCTATTCTCCCTAACGCTTTAGTTTCTACTTATTTCAAGGGTTGCAAATGATATACTCCAATCAATGCAGTCATACAGTAATAGAATCCCTCTGACCTATGCAATCTGCGGAATAAAATTCAAGCATTGCAAAGGACATATTGCAGTAATGCCAGTATAATAATATGTTTTCCATCCGTCCCAAAATGAAAGTCCTAAACTTTATGAGCAGAAAGTTTTTAACTTCCCTAGAAACACATGGAAGGTAAATTTGTAGAAATTTAATTAGGAAAAAGGTTCAAATCGGAATTTATGTAAATGTTTTTGCCTAAAAGGGAAACTAAACTTTTAATTTGAGACGCCTGAAAATAGAAAAACGGGACTTTCTTTTGGGGACAGAGGGAGTATTATATATTTGCAAATATTTATCACAAGATATCAGTGGTTCATTCTACAAAATATTTTTGCAGTATCTTTTCTGATATCTCATGACAAAATTTTATAAATATATAAATAATATAAATGCCTATTGATAATTAAATGCAGCTAAAGGACTGCAGAGATGATAAATGCAGGTAAAAGGGATAAGATTCACATTACCATTCACCTAGTTCACGACCAAAACCACTACGCTTCTTTCCTCCCCAAGGAGGTTGCCAAAAGCATGGCTGTGAACAGTTCACCCAAACTATGCCTGACTGAAAAGCCTGCATATTTATTTCATCAGAAGAGTAAGTATCTATTATGCTTATTTTCACTGACAACCCAACTATGGTTTGTTTCCTCTAGCATAAAAAGCTCATACCTTTGTCAGTCGTTCACATCTTGCAACATCTTTAGACAAGACTGCTGCACCCAATCCATATCTATGAAGGATAGAAAGTTTATTAGACTCACAACATAGAATGGTGTTGCACTGATCCTATATTCTGAGTGATAAGAGGCTGGTGGGGGTGGGGGGGGGGGGGGAGGAGTTGGACTCACTGGGTGTCATTTGCTAGTTCAATGGCTTCCTCTTCAGTTTTAAATGTCTTGACACAAAGAACAGGGCCAAATACTTCCTCCCTCCAAATTTGCATGGAGGTATTTACATCAGTTATAATGGTTGGTTCAATATAATACCCCCTTTTCAGATGCTGCAATTTAGTTGTGTATCAAATTCTTGTCCAAACCTTAACATTGTAATTAATATTACGTAGTATTAAATTAATAAAGCAGTGTTATACACTATAACAAGCTTTTACCTCAGGACGCTGGCCACCATACAAAATGGTTGCACCTTCACTTCGGGCGGTTGAGATGATTTTCTTCACCTTCTCATACTGAATAAAAAAATGATTCATCAGTTATGGTGAGTTGGGAGACAATTAATTACCATAGCAAATTAGCAATGCAGCAAACCATGGAATGGGGAAACTTACTCAAATAGCAACTAGTGAACACCTTGTTTGGTTGAGGGATTTCGGAGGGGAGGAATGGGGAGGAGTAACAAAGAATAAAAAATAGAAATAAAATAAAGATAAAAAACTATATAGAAATAATATACGGAGTAGAAAGTAAAAAAACAAATAAAGATAAATTAGTAACACAAGCAGGGATTTTTCCTTAAATATTACTATAATGAAGTTCAGTTCCAATAAAGCAACTACCTTTACTCATGGAAAAATGTAACAAAAATGGTTAAAATATCGGAAAGTCATGAATGTCACTAACAGTTTATTATGTCACTGCAAGTGATTGCCAGTGTTACTGATGCCGCCACCGGTGTCACTGCTGCCGCGGAAGTGTGGAACATGTCACTGTGACGAGAAATTTTTTCCAGGGACTTCTAGAGGTGAAATTAAAAAAACTGAAAAACAACGTTTTCTGCCAACGTTTTCCGCCAACGTGTGTGGGCAGTTGCATAGGAATTGAAAGTAGAAGAAATGTGTATATTAATTACATAAAAGTAACATATTTGGAAAGATAAAAACTAGTCAATAGTCATATTTTTTGTCTTTGAAAAGTGTACATGTATTTTTTTTTTCATTTTTCAAATAAAAATCAACACACCCTCCAGTCTGAAATTCAAGAACCAAAAAATCATGTAATTTTCACATTAGAGAAAATATATATTGTTCATATTATCTTTCAGCCATATCATTGCAATTTCTTTTAAAAGTAGATCTCTTACCTGCCCATGACTAACGAGAGGACCCATTTTACATTCATCCTCCAACGGGTCTGATATTTTAATATTTTTGGTCCATTTCACCAGCCTGTCCATAAACTCTGCAGCAATACTTTCCTGCAACATTGTGAACAGAGAGAGGTCAATTAGTCCAAGGGTGTGGAGTTAGTTACAATACCCAAAGACTTTAAACCTTTGAGTCAAGGTTTACAGATCTTCGCTCCTTGAAACAACACTTAGCTGTTGTAATGAGAATGAACTTCATGAAGAGGCGGTGCCAAGAAAATTTAAAAAGTACTGCATGTTCCATTTCTTTATCTGTTTGTAATCAGAACGAAGAGGTGGTGACAAGATATTTTAAATGGCACTAACCATTCCATTTATACGCATGGTATACATTCAACCATCATTTTTTATAACAATTAGCAGTGTTCTCTAACTCCCATCTTCCTATTTTAACAGTAGCTGGTACCCATAATTTCACTATAAAAGCTTCAAAACTGGTTGGAAAATGGTACACAATATCTGGATATCAGTGGACGATACCTGCAATATGAGACGAGATGTTGCACTGCAAATTTGACCATTTGTCCAAAAGCAACCAAAAAGAGTCCACTCAGCAGCTGATCCAATACAAAAAATGCAATGATATTATATATAGTAATAAAGAACTGACAACAGTATCAGTAGAAATGCAATGAAAAACGCCAACCTATATCAAGGTCACCAACATCATCAAATATAACTATAGGGCTTTTGCCACCAAGCTCAAGTGTTACCGGCTGTGAATAAAAAGAAAAAGAAAGGATATCAACCGGAACTTAGAAACAGAATTTGCTATCAAAGAACACCTAAAACAGTTAGCATACCTTGACAAGTTGGGCAGCTGCAGTCATGATTCTGACCCCTGTGGCATTACTACCTGTAAATGCAATCTAAACATGCATTGCATGACGATTGACAGATTAAGTCCCGATATCATGGCATTAAAGGCTATCGAAAGGGCCAACAGAATGCTAAATATATACTACTGAAATAAGAAAATGTGAAGCAGCAAACCTTGTCAACATGAGGATGTGATGCCAGTGGGGCACCTGCTTCCGGTCCCAACCCTGTTAAAATGTTTAGGGCACCAGGAGGAAGGCCAACCTCTTTACATACTTCACCCAGCTCTAAACAGGTACTGAAATCGGAAATTACAATATTTGAGAAAATA